TTTTTTTTTTTTTTTTTTTGCAATAGTGAGCTCTTCCTTGGAACTTTATCTGTGAAGTTTGTTGGAGCCTTAGTTTGAATGTGAGCATTTCCAGACAAGATTTGAATTTGCTTGTACAGTGTCCTTAGACACTTACAGTCTGGGACTACCTGAAAACGTTAGGTACATTTTGTGATTGAGGTTTTTTTTTTTCTGTGAAATTGAAGCTCAAATCAGGATGAAATTATATAATTTTAGTGGAGACTCCTCCTCTGCCCCAGCCAGCAGCCACAGTTGAGAGAGACGGGTTTAGTCACAGGCCCCATCTACAGGACAGGTTTACCTCAAATTTACCATCCTACTAGCTTCCCATTTTATGTGGGTGAAGGAGAATGATTTCTGTTCTAATTCTCCCAACTGGGGCAGGCTTTCGCTTAGCCTTCTGTGCCTCAGGGCTCTCAAAATCAAAATCAATCTTTCGGGTTCACTGGGGTTTGGCAGAAACTTTCATGGGGAAAGCCTGCTTGAGAACTCACTCACCTCTCCTACTTTGTTTTTGTTGTCTGATGATTTCCCTGTTGAGTTGTTGTTATTTTGGTTTTGTGTGTGTGTGTGTGTGTGTGTGACACATCAAAGGTACACTTTACAATTTTTTAAATATTTTTTCAGATTTGTCCTTGCTTTAAGTGACAGCATTGTTTACTGTCTCTTGTCTACCGTGTTGCTGGAGACTGAATTCGATGTTTCTTTTTCTAAATGCTCACAGAATTGTTTCAGATTTTCTAGGCCTATGATACTATTGCAATGAAATATCTAAGGGGTCTTCAGTGTTTTCCAGTTGGCTATAAGGGCTGAAATTTCTATGCAATGTTGGTAGTAGAACGGGAAAGCCTGATTTGCCACCTGCTAAGTTGTACTTTATCATAGCGTAAACCCAACTTTATGTTAAATTCAGCCAGGTAGAATTAAGAGTTTTCACTTTTCTATTTCATGATCTCTTTTTTTTTTTTTTGAGACAGAGTCTCACTTTGTCACCCTCCGTAGTAGAGTGTCATGGCATCACAGTTCATAGCAACTTCAAACCCTTGGGCTTAAGCGATTCTCTTGCCTCAGCCTCCCAAGTAGCTGGGAATATAGGCACCCCCCCCACAATACCCAGCATTTTTTTTTTTTTTAGAGACGGTCTCACTATGGCTCAGGCTGGTCTCAAACTCCTGAGCTCAGGCAATCCACTCACCCTGGCCTCCCAGAGTGCTAGGCTTAGAGGTGTGAGCCATAGCGCCCGGCATCAAGATCACTTTTTAAAAAAATCTCTAACTCTCCTTTTCTTTCCCATACTTGAACCACAGTTATAAATACATAGCAAAGGTCTATTTATAAGATTTCTTAAAATACATTTAAAAATCAGTTAATAATTTAATCATTTATTATTTTGGAAAATTGTATTTTTTACATGTAAGATTTACTTTTTAAGAACACTATATATACCACATGAGCACAGGAAGGATTATAGGACAAAAGTAATTTTATAAACCTCAGAAACAGAAATACAGGAAAACAAGCAATGAGGTATTTACTGTGAACCCCATTTTTCAGGCAGTTTATAAATAATGATTATAAATGTTTAAAAAATGAGTCTCAGAATCACATCATTCATTATTACTTTTTACTTACATCAATCTGTATCTGTTTTGTTGTAAATATTTTAACTACAAAAGTGCTGTTTTTTTGAGACAGAGTCTCATTTCGTCACCCTCAGTAGAATGCCACGGTGCCTTAGCTCACAGCAACCTCAAACTCTTGGGCTAAAGTAATTCTCTTGCCTCAGCCTCCTGAGTAGCTGGGATTACAAGTGCCTGCCACAATCCCCAGAGAGTTTTAGAGACGGGATCTCCTGTTCTTTTTTTCCTTTATTGGTATATTATATTTTACGTATTTGCATATTTTACATATGTGAGTATTTTTTACATGGGATGAATGTATAATGATCAAGTCAGGGTACCTGGGATATCCATGACCTCAAGTATTTATAGTTCTATGTGTTGTTTACATTTCAAGTCCTTCTTCTAGCTTCTTGGTAATATTCAATATATGGTTGCTAACTATAGTCACCCTAGTCCCTAGCCTGCTGTGGAACATCAGAACCATATTCTTGAAAAATGTTAAGAATAGATACAGTGTGTTCTCACCACAAAAATGAGTAACTATGTGATGTAATACATATGTTAATCAGGTAGAATTAGTCATTCCACAATGTATATATACTTTATTACATCATGTCCTACATGGTAAGTACATACTATTTTACCTGTCAATGTAAAAATAAAATAAAATAAAAATTTGAAATATTTCTCTCATAAAAAAGAGTAATATCTTCTTAAGAAAGAAGAAAAAAAAAAACAACGAACAGGCTGGGCACAGTGGCTCATGCCTATAATCTCAGCACTTTGGGAGGCCAAGGCAGGAGGATTGCTTGAGTCCAGAAGTTCAAGCTTGGGGTATTCATGCGGACCTATAGTCCCAGCTACTCCTCCCTTGAACTCAGGAGTTGGAGGCTACAGGGAGCTATAATCACATCACTGCACTCCAGTCTGAGCAACAGAGGAGACTTTGTCTCAAAATTTAAATTAAATTAAATTAGCTAAAGTGCAAAGTCAACATCCTTATTTATATTGACAAGATTCATTTGTAAGTATAAATGGAGCTGTGTTTGCTCAAATATTACTTGCATGACTTCACAGTAATAATAACCAACATTATATACTGCCTTCTGTAGCCCTAATACTGTGGGAGTAATTGGATATAGTGAAGGAAAAGATCCTTGATCTCTGTTCTTTTTCTCACTGGCTTACATGGGGATGACCACAGCGATCTTGGAAGGCCAGCTGAAGATGGAAAAGCCCTGTCAGCCTGGGCCTGTGAATGACTGCGGACCAGAACCACCTACCATGGTGAATTGTACACCTGGCAGTTTTTATATGAGAGAGAAGTAAACTTCTTTTTGTCCTTTAAACTATATTATTTAGGAATCTCTCATTATAACAACTTTATCTTTACCCTCTCTTTTCAGAAAGAGAAGAGCACAGGAAGGAATATAGGACAAATCATCTTTATCATTTACTTACCGTTTGTTATTATTCTGTCCAGTAAACCATGTGGAGGGCAAGCCAGGGCTTGTTTCAGTCTTTGTGAGCAATCTGATTCAGCTGATGTTTCTTGTAGCTTTTTTTCACTGCTATTCAATAGGTTACTTCCTTCTGTTGGTTCATTTTCATCTCTCCCTTTGAGGTTCATAATTGTCTCCGCCTATATTTAGAACAAGTTGTAAAATACTTAAAACTATGTATTGTCTATACATTTTTATAGTTACTAAGCCATCACATAAAAATTCAAATTTCCATTACTAAAATCAAGAATAGTACCTTATAAGGAAAATGTGTAACTTTATTATTAGCTAATCAGCTCCTATTTGAAACAAGAACTATATTAGGAGTATTCAGCACTGGCACTATTTTTAGTGAAGGTTAAGTATCCCTAATCTGAAAATCCAAAATCCAAAATCCAAAATGCTCCAAAATCTGGAACTTTTTGAGCACTGACAGGATGCCACATGTGAAAGATTCCATACCTCATGTGACCAGTTATATTTTGTGACCAAAATATAACTTTGTCTCATGTACAAAATTGTTAAAAATGTGGCATAAAATGACCTTCAAGTCATGTGTATAAGGTATACATGAAACATAAATGAATTTCATGTTTAGGCTTTGGTTCCATCCCTATGATGTATTATTACGTATATACAAATATTTCAAAATGCAAAAAATCTGAAACAGTTCTGTTCCCAAGTATTTCAGATAAAGTATATTCAATCTGTATTATAAATGCTTGAGTGACATAAAATTTCATTATGTTTTGCATTATGAGTTTAAAAATCAGTATATTAAATATATAAGTCAGTGCAAGAGTTGTCTCATTTACCAAAGTGGTTCAGAAAAAGATAACTAATAGTGATTAAAACCAATTCACATTCATTTATCTACTTGAATGTAAGCAATACAGAAAGAAGGGAGAACACAAAACCATTCTAGGGATTAGGCCAGGAACATGGGGCCAGCTGCTGCTAACATTAGCAGGACAACTGGTAGTCACACCTGCCCTGGACTGTATGAGTTTGGGGATTAAGATGGGGGAGAGTTTTTAATTGAAAGAGAATAAAGAGAACACAATTCTATCATAGCTCAGAAATGTATAGTCCCTTTTTTTAAGAAATGACTGTTATGTGTTTGATTAGAGATTTACCTGTGTTTCTTGACACACTGAGGCTGTGTGATTCATTCCTGTGGATGGTTTTGAATCGTCACGTTCAATTGCTTTGTTTTCATCCTCCATGATTTGTAATTAAGAAGATGGTGGAAGAAGAACAAGAGCTGTTTTGAAGGAAAAACAGTATAGAGTAGCAATTTGAGAATCTTTAGATTTCAAATATTTTAGATTGCATTATTTCCCCCCTTAGAATTCTGAATGGCTACAGTATGTTCAATTAGACTATTCTTAACTTTCAATTGCTGACCTTTTGTTTGACTCTAATATATTATCCTCATTCTTATCTACCTTTTTTTTTCCTCTTACAAAAGAGACCTTGTTGACTAATCACATTCTTATGATTTCTTTCCCACCCTGTTTTTGGGGTTACACTTCAAAATATGCCAAGCGATATCACCATTCAACTGTCCTCAGTAAGGGGTCAACTGAAGAAGCAGGAAAGTTCCAGGTAATTTTCCAAGGTTGGGATGAAGAATGACTCACTAAAGGGAAATCTCTGGATTCCATCATTTTCAGAGAAATCAGAGTCATTGATTCCTGCCTGGTTTTTATTGCTAAAGTAAAGTTAAAAAATATAGCACCATTGAATGAGTAGCCACAATATCTTGGACACTATGATAAGGGCTTATGATAGTCAAAAGTGGGCAAATCAAAGATTACCAAAACACATTGTCTTCCCTAGGCTGTCCATGCTACACAGGTTGCAAAGTCAAAAACAGCACTCCAATTCCTAGCTACGTCTGCAGCTAGGGATGGCCATTTGTCACAGCTGAGTGGGAGTCCCTGGGGAGGCCTTTAAAGGATCATACTTTCTACTCTTTGCCTGCTAATATTTCCTTTTCTCCTTCCTAGAATGTAGGTACAATGCCTGGAGGAGTGGCAGCCATCTTTCAACCATGAGCATAATAGTCCTGTGCTTAGGACAGCAGATAAGTAAGACAGGAGCCGGGTCCTTGATGAAATCCTTAAGTCCTTCCATTGGTCTTGGACTGCCAAGCTTTCGGGTAAGTTTTTAAAATCCCTATTTAACAACTTTTCTTTCTACTAGTAAGTAAATCTATTCCTAATACAACAAGTACAGTAAGTATTATGATGGAGGTATAAACTACAAGCTTTGGTAAAACTAAAGAACAAAATTATGTGAGAGAAAGAGAAAATTTAATACGGCATGTATGTGAGTGCCTGCTACATGCCAGGCACTGTGCTAGGCCAAAAATACAAGGATGAATTAGAAAGGACCCAGCTTCAAGCAATCAGTTTTTCAATGTGACGAAGTGGTTTGTCTTTAAAATCGCAAGGAACATCAAAATCTTTCCACCAGTCCTACCACTTGCACCACTACTATCACCATTTTTCTTCCTTACAAAATACAACGACAACCAGAATAAATTTTTTTTTTTTTTGAGTCACAGTCCCACCCTGCCACCCTGGGTAGAACACCTTGGCATCATCATAGCTCACAACAACCTCAAACTCCTGGGCTCCAGTGAACTTCCTTCCTCAGTTTTTTTATTTTAGTAGAGACAGGGCCTCACTCTTGCTCAGGCTGAGCTCAAGCAACCCACCTTCTTTGGCCTTCCAGAGTGCTAGGATTATAGGCGTGAGCCACTGTGCCTGCCAACCAGAATGAATCTTAAAAAACATTTAGCTTAGACTGGAAATGGTAGTTCATGCCTGTAATTCCAGCACTTAAAGGGAATTGCTGGAGGCCAGGAATTTGAAATCAGCCTAGTCAACATGATGGGACCCTATTTCTACAAAAAAAAAATTAAAAAGTTAAGCAGACATCATAGCACATGCCTGTAGTCCCACAAGCAGGGTACGGTGGAAGTATTATTTGAGTCTAGAAGTTCAAGGTTACAGTGAGCCATCATCATGCCATTGCACTCTAGCCTGGGTGACACAGCAAAATCCTGTCTCTAAAAAACTAAACAAAAAAATACTCTTCAGTTTAGTTTTTATTATATTTAATTTATAATAAGGATATTTGTATAATGGTATACCTCATTGCTGAATATCACGATGGTCATCAGATGGCTAAGGGGAGTATTTTGAAGGTGGCTATAGTGATGTTCAGCAAAGAGGTATGTAGAACTTTTTCTAGGATGAGTTTGCAAACTTAATTGTCATATAATGACAGCTCTGATGTCTGTTCCACAAAAAAGTTCCAAAATTGCTTTGCAGGGTAGACTAGGCACTGGTATCAGTGCTTGGTTTCCCCTGGGGAGCACCCTGAAAGTGACCATAGTGATACTTAGCAATGAAATAGCACTTTTTCTAGGATGAATTCACAAAATTAATCGTCAGACTTGATATGCCACTGAAATTATAGAGCTGTGAACTTGAAAGGATATTTCCTTAATTCTTCCTCCATGCTCGAGAGAAAATTGCACTTAACAGATGAAGAATATGAGCAATTCTGTACAGGCATGTGTACGTGAGCAAACAGAAAAAAATGTCTGTTAACAGTGCCTGCCTTTGGGAAGAGAAATGGAATTGGAGTGGTTGGACTTTCCGTTTTATTTTCTATATTGTTAAGATTAAATAAGATTTTCTTATGCAATTTACAGACAGTTAAAAAATAATCTGTGTAATCTTTAAAGCTTTCGATAAATGAAAATGATCTAGATTTCCTCAGTAATATTTTTCATAGGCATGTTCTGGTCATTTTAAGGTCATTTTTTGGTTTGTTTTTGTGGTTTCTGAAGGAGATGGGGTGCTGTCTAGAATCATCTACAGTAGTTTTATATATTTTTAAGCCAAACATATTTTATCAAATGAAACCTTATCCTTAAATCCTAAAAATAGAACAGATGAAGGTTGGGCCACAAGAGCCCTATGCATATGACCCTGTTCCCTTGGCAAGTGAAGCATATTTTGGAAACTACTTCTGTAAATATGCTTTCACATACAGGAAGATATTTGTGAAATCAGCCTTCTCTTTTTCAGGTTATCTTACTTATCTAAATGTTTAAAAGTGCTTTCTGTAATATTCCAGAGGAAATAAAAAAATTATCAATTTGCAAATGTCCACAGGCTCTTGGTCAAGTAAAATATGCTTCCTGCTATCATTTCATTTCAATTACAACTAAAAGACCATGGCCTGTATAAAGACTGGCCGTTTTTGCTATGTATTGTCTATAATATGAATAGGTTGACATTTAATGGGATACTCTGATTAAGCATTTACACATATAGCTTGTTATGGTTTGAAGGTTTTTGTCCCTTCAAAATTCCTATGCTATCACTTAACCCCCAAGGTTATGGTATTAAGAGGTACAGCCTTTTGGGAAGTGATTAAATCCCCCGTTCTCCATCTTCATGAATAGTATAAATGCCCTTATATGAGGTTGGAAGGACCAGACTAGTCCCTTTGCTTTTTCTCTTCCATGTGAGGACACAGCTCTCAAGCCTTCCTCCATGTGAGGACCCAGCAAGCCGGTACAATTTTGCAAGTAGAGAGCTGGCACTCACTAGACAGCAAATCAGCTAGCACCTTGGTGATTATTTACCATTTATTCTATCATTCATAAATAACTCAGTTGTGGTATTTTGTCATAGCAGTACAAATGGACAGAGACATCGGTGGAGTGCTTTATTTGTTGCATTCATGCCTTTGAAAAAGCAGCACCATGATTGTTCATTAAATACCCTATATGACAACGGTAACAATCTCCCGGCTTTCAGTCTCATACTGAGCATACAGAACATATAGAAGCATTCCAGTTTCTGGATTCTGCTATCAACTCTTACTGAATGCCCGTTTCCTACAAGAAGCCCTACCTGGCCATGAGGAATTCAAATCAGGCTATGAAGTAGAGCTTACAACTTTCCTTGTCAATTAATTACTGAAATGACTAAGAATGTTTCCCTGACTGAGAGCTACCTTGTCCGAAAGTGTTAGGTGTGCCAAGCTGCATGGGCCAAGTCACCAAAGGAAAACAACTGCTATTCTATTGGGTTAAGTGGCCAAGTGATTTGGTTGACTCACCATGAAGTCAACACTATCCAAGGAGATATGAATAAAAGGAAATCATCCCTAAGTAGGAAGGGACTCAATACTTGCTTCTCTCCTTTTTATTCTTTCTCCCCACTGAGGGAAAATGTATTTATTAAAAGTTTAAAGTATTTTTTCCTAGGCCTACTAAAAGCAGAATCTCTAGAGATTCAATTTCTCCTAAGCGTGGCAGCCATGACGTCTTGCCTATCTAATCGCTATTCTTTCAGATATGCCAGTGCATCCCTGCCTAGTCCTAGGGATAAGTCATGATTTATCTAAAGCATTCTCTGTATCACCATGCCTCTTTGCTCCTTGTTGGTTTAGGGATGATCAGGATTCAATTCTTGCCAGTGGAATTTGTTGGCAAGGCTATTGGGGCCACTGGGTAAGACTTTCCTTTCTAATAAAAAGAGAGGCAAGAGGAGAAGCCTCCCCTCTTTTGTCTTCTTGTTACAGAAAATATTTTGTAAACATTTTAAAATGAAGAAATGTTTCACGTTATACTTGCAACTTATAAGTATATAAGTATACTTATACTTTAAAGACCCAGTGTATATGTAATAAACAAATGACTTCAGCAGCCAGGCAGGTAATAGGTGATGAGAGGTCTGTGGCAAGTGGAAAGGGCCTTGCCAATTAAAGGCATTCAAGTTACCATAGATCTCTGGATCTAATCTCATGATTTCACTTCCCAACTAAAGAAACTGAAAATGTTAGGTTTAGGTGACTCTTAAATAGCATATTAATCAGACTCAGTGCATAAACAGAAATCACTCCAGATAAAAACATAAAGAGATTTTATACAGGGAATTAAGTATTCACAAGATTGTTAAAGGGCTAGAAGTACAGGGTTAAGGTTGTACTTGGAATGATTTCTAGATACGTGCAACTGAACCACCAAGGAATGTACCATTTCTGCCACACTAAGGAAGCTCCACAGGCAGGGCCTATGGAGTTCAAGAACACTACTGTAGCTGTGACCTGGAAACTGGACAGGGAACACAGAACACGTTCAACACCTCCTTCAACTGCCTCTTGATAGCACAGAGCTGGTGATTCAACTCAGCAATGCTGAGTCTGGTCCCTGCTGCTAACTGCCTCCCCTTACACACAGTTCTGGAGACTGACAATGGCTTCTCCCAGAGCGTCCCTGCCTGCAGAAAACAGCCAAAATATAAGGAAGACAGCCTGTGCCTCACTCCGCCTCTGAAATCTCAGGCAAATCTTGCCAAACCCTAATTTTACAACCAGAACTCTACCCGGAAGGGAGTCCTGGCAATGTTTATAGCTTTCCAATCTCTGCTGACACACACACTAGAAGCAGATAGGAATGGATGGGAGCTTCAACTTCCACATTCAGCCCAGGAACTTTGGGAATAGGCCCCAGGACTAAGATCTAGGTCACTGACTCTTTTCCAACTAGTCTATAATATCTTCTATAGAAGTCCTAAAAAAAAAAAAAGGCAACGTTTAGTCAACAAGATTATACTTCTAAAGATCTTCATATCTTAGTCACTTTGCTCATTTTGTTAGTATAGCATGAATCACACTACCTAATTATTGTACTAGTTCTGATCCACTGGAATTTGAACTCCTGTATGGTAGAAACTGTATTTAATCCATATTTGTATCTCCTGTCCCCATGGCTGCTTCACATAAAGAAGCCACACGGGTATTTGCTTAATTGAAATGTTCCATTCTTGACTTTGAGAGAAAGAGTAAGCCAGAATTTCATGAGAGTGCCGTGTGGCAGCAAGAGGTCCCATTATAGAGAGGCTGGGGAAAGGGGACTTTAGTCTTTAAATGCAAACAGGGGATGACCTGGCTAAGGTATCTGCCATCTCCACCTGCCTGTTGTGTGGATTCTTGCTAGGAAGCTCAAGGAAAGAGTGGCTTCCTGCTGTCAATGTTTTGGGGCAACAAATCCCACCAGAGTGTGGTGTGAAATAACCTGAGGGAGAGAAGCTGACGGCTGGTAACTAAAAAGGCCATAAGCCCAACTTGTGCTTCAAGCAGGTGGTATAATCTCCACTCCCGAGGAGCTAATGGTTCTCAGTGCCTCAAGCTGCTAACCTAGTCCACAAAAGCCAAAGCCTCTGGTTGACGTGAGAACTAAACAAAAGCAAACGGATTACGCCAATATTTGACAACAGTAAACACACACGCACACCACGCACACTCACACACACGCCACAGTATAAACTGAAAGAGCCGGCCCCCCGCAAGGCCTACCGATCCCCCGCGGGCGCGGGTTTATTTACCCTCCACGTCTCCGGGCTTCTCGCTGGAGTCCACTCCACCCCGCCAGATCCACCCGGGAATGGGCTACAAGGTACCCAGGGCGGGCGGCGGTGCCGGGCTTAGCCGCCGCCCTCTGGGTTTCCCGGTTCGCGCATCGTCCCAGGCGGAGCGAGGAGGCTGCGAGGACCGCGGTGACCGCAGATAACGGGCGCGGCGGCGGCGGCGGGGG